CAAGCTGCATGAGCATGGTACACACATTACTGATTGAGCGTGAATCTAGACAAAATAAGTGGGGTAAAGTGATTGGGAAGAGGAAGTAAATAATAAGAATGTAAGGAATACATGCTTGACAATAATCTTTCATAGGAGAAAGAAGACTAATTGATGAGGAATTTACTTCTCACTTGATGCACAACATACATTAATCTGGAATTTGAATACCACCCGCTAGAGGAAAAACACAACAGATTTATTTGATCCATTTACTTAAATTAAGATAAATCACTTTTTTTTTTCCTGTTGTGGTGTTGGCTAGCGTAATGGGCGAGGGGGTAGATGATACTAAATGTCCATTTCAACATACAAGTCTGGGTGGTTCATAGGTACATTATCAAGGAGGAATATTATGAGGGTCATGGATATGGATCCTCCCAATTGGAGAGGGTCTAATTACTGCAATCATACCATTCATTCCAATTTCAAGGGATGAGATACACCATGTAGGATTTCCACTATTATGATAGTGGTTTCATCTTAGTGATTTTTAAGATAATAGCGGAAAAATCTTATGTGACTTGATCTCATCTCTTGAAATTGGAATTGGAATGTACGGTAATGATTGTGGTAAATGACCTCTCCAATTACTACCTAACTGGAGAGGATCTGTATCCGAGGGCCTTTAAGACCCAAATATAAGTTTGGACCACGCTAGCAACTGCAATCTTATGGAGCATGTCATGCTAAGAATAGTTCCTATGTACAGCTATCTCATTCTAAGATTTCCTACACAGTAAGTAATACACTATCAAATCTAGTCTCCCAAAAATATCAGTAGCTTACTAGCTTACTGTTTAATTGCCTGAGTAATATTTTGTTTTCATAGGAATATGTTCAAGCAAAGGACAAATATCTCAAATGTTATATCCAAGTTTTCCCATCTTGGGCACAACTATCAATAAAATTTTCTCGTATTTGGTTTTTGAACATTCCATTGGACTTAAACCTCCTTTTTTCTCTTTTCCACTACACTAAAAACCATTAACTCTACAGCCAGTGATACATGGATATTAGCCATCTGTATCAGTGTCTGTATGTTGAGAAGTGTCTGAGACCCCCTCCACCCCACAACACCCCCCCACCCCACCAAAAAAATTTCCTTTTCCTTAAAAAAATTTATAAAAATATCGTCACTTGCCAAATTGATAGAGTTATGTAATAATTGATTTATTTGATAAATTTGAAATTTTCTAATCCCTAGTTGGTTATTTACTTAAGTTCACCTTTTATGATAACTCTAAATAAATTTCTTAAGAAATGATTTTCAAAGTAGTATACTTTACTTAAGCCTTAACTTGGACTTTTATTTAAAATAATGAAATTTTTGCATGCTTAACTTAGAGTTGAAAATAATTTTTTCAAAGTGTCTTGATTTACATATTTTCAAAATATATATACATATAAAAAAAAAAATATTTGCAAAAGAAGAGTGCGAAAAATGGGCATCAAAAAGAAAAAAAAGAAAACTCTTTAATTCAAGGTGATTCTATCTTATAAAGCCTAAGCTGACCGAGTAATTAAGCCCAATGAGTATTTTCATACTTAATGACCTAAGCCCAATTGGGTTGGGATCCATTGGCCCAAAACTCGTTAAATGGTCACTTAGAAAGCCCGTTAAAGTAGAAAAAAATCACCAAGGAAGAAAGAGTTAAAAAAAAATTAATTAAAAAAAACCTAATAAATGTTTTATAGTTGTATGTATGGTCTTGGAAAATATTTTAAATCAAACAACTTGAAAATTATTTAAAACAAAGAGTTAACATGTTCTTTTCAAAACTTTTAAATTAAATTTCTAAGTAGTTAACATGTTCTTTTCAAAACTTTTAAATTAAATTTCTAAGTTTGGCTTGGTTTTGTATTGCTACAATGAGAAGATTTTCTTAAAAATATACCTTAGAGTTATATATATAAATATTTTCTTGAGTGATAACTGGCTCCAATTAGATTATCTAAAAAGTTATCAAGTGAATTTAGTTATTTACTGACTTCTTTAATTTGGCAAGATTGACCGAATTTTGTGGTTGTGTGTTTTAGTACACACATAATTAGAATGACTCCATTATTTAGGGGAAAAAATGAACATAGAGTTCAAATTGAATTATGGCTTTGACTTGTCCGTATCATCTGAAGCAGAAACCACAGTACCATTTGGATATGATGACTTAACATGTTAATGTTATGATGTACTTGTTTTAAATGTCCCCAAGGTGTCCAATGCTTGGACCACCCAACATGTCATAAAGTTGAAATCTAAAGTGTATAGTTTTCACTGCTTGTATGACTTTGAGAATGCAAGCGAGCACAAAAGCACCTTATTCATGAAGTAGTTACCTAATTGACTTCCTGAATAATACCAATCTGAAGCTTCTGTACCCAAGTGTGAATATATCTGGGCAGATACGAACTTAGGGTTTATTTAGTCCATTCCACTTCCATTCCGTTCCCTCATGTCAAAGATTTGTCAAACATCTCAATGCGAAAAGGGGGAAATAGTCATGTGTTGTGAATGCTCTCATCAATTCCTTTAAAGGTGTAAACTTTGTTTAATTAATGGAAGTTAGTGTGTTGATGTGGTTTAGTAAGAAGCATAATTGAGTATATGTACACTGCCAATAAAACCTTTATCCCTTTAATTTTTCCTTTTTTGTTTCACTATCCAGCTACATAATCCTGTTCTTCCACTTAGTTTTGTTAAAGCCTATCTTACTCAACTAATTTTACCATTAGTCCATTATCATATCCTAGTCGCTTTTTCGGTTGGTTCCGACCAAGTTCTCTTAAAACCTCTACTTCTGCTCCTTTCTTCATTAATTGATTCTCTCAAGTGGTCTTTGTTGCACATGCCCAAATTATCAAGTGGTCTTTGTTGCACATGCCCAAATTATCTAAATTGATTCTCTCATTATCAAGTGGTCTTTGTTGCACATTCTCCATTATCAAGTGGTCTTTGTTGCACATGCCCAAATTATCTAAATTGATTCTCTCATTTTACCTCAAAAGAAGCAACCTTTAACTTCCTACAAGTGCGCCCGTGTCTCATCCTATCTTGACATTTACTTATAAAACAGATAAACTGCATAAAATGGAGGTACTTTTTTGAAATCTGTTTGGTTTTATATTAATTATGCATCTGAGTATTTTGTGATTGAAAATGAAACCTTGACTGGTTCAATTTATGCGGATCCTCCAGTATGTGAGTCTTGGTTATTCAGTTTGAATTATCACAAACACAATTTGTATGTGATATTGTTGGGATCTGATACCAGGATGGTATGGGAAGAGGGGCGAGCGGAAATGAAGATAGGATGTTGATTGCTCTAAGGATACATATAACACCACCTTAGGATAAGCAACAGATAAATGTGGACTGCTGACCACTCTAGAGATACAAATATCACTGCTTTAGTCTAGATAAATGCAATCATCTTGCCATTTCCATTAGACCTTAAGCTTGAATAATTTCTTCAAGCGTTAGGTTTACTGAAAACTAGAAGACTGATTAGTAAGATAGAAAAATTAAAAGGCATTTGACTAACATAGATAAATTAAATATACTAGAAAATACCAAAGTCTTCATGCAGTCCAAGATGTCCACCCCTTGGTATTTGCTTGACGTCTTTTTGCAGAGAGATCTAAATCATGCAAGACTAGTCTAAAATGAATGTAGACTCGAAACCTATCCAACACTTCAAACGAAGAGTTATTTGAGTTTTTCTATAAAAAGTTATGACCAAAACAATCACTGTTATGCTTGCAGTCCAGAAAATCTGAAAATGCAAGTGTGCAGCTTGGTCTCCTTGTGCTCCTGCATCAGGATCATAAGTCGTTAAGTTGGTTCAGGGTATATGATACTAACGAGGAAGCCAAAATTCATATGTTGATAGTTCTCTTTAAATACTTGAGTCAATTGATTTCAACCTTTTCCTACACTGTTCTTACGGTCATATATGAGCTCCATAAGCTGACTGAATCGTGCTACTAAATTGTTTCAGGATCTGACTAAGGAGCCGACCATAGTGGTGAGTGGTCATCACGGGAAGCTTCATATTGATGGTCTTCGCCTTATCATTGATGAAGGTGGCGGGCTTGAAGCCAACCCCATAGCTGCTATAGTTCTTCCTTCCATGAAACTTGTTCGAGATACTGACAATGTCGTCGCCCATAATTGATCATTTCTCACAATCCACTTCAAGTAAGCAGAACTAAAGCGCCAGAGCAGTTACGTTTGTGAGATTAATGCGGATATGATAGTTTCTGGGCTTTAAAGTTTGAAGATCATAGATATCGTTTTTCATGAACAGAAGTTTTCTTCCATGTGCGATATTCACGCCAACTTGTTCATTGGCGTTTCAATGCATATGATCCTTTTTCGTGTTGATATGTTATTATAGGGCAACACAAAGGTGGCCCTGAAACACTATTTCTCTACGTCTGGGCTGCTTATGGTCCTTTCTTTTGTTTTTCTGTTAAGGATTAATTGCGGATAGACCGCGCTTGTAATACTGTTGCTTTGAACTTACTAGCCCTCTAATTGTTTTATATTTACATCTGACTGAAGTTATTTTCGACTCTTTTACCCTCAAAGAAAGGGAAAATTGTTTTTGTTTTTTGTTTTTTTTGTTTTTGCTTGCCAAGTAGACGTCTTGAGCGTAAGAAGGTCCGGGGGGAAAAAGCCCTCTAAGACGGTGGTCTATCTGCAAAGTTAAAAGTAGAGAGCTGAAAAGTTCAAAACAACGATACTACAAGGAATGTCTTCCAAATTAATCATTTATGTTAACGTGCCAAACTTTCTGCCGGCCCTAATTAATGTGAATACAAAAGGGGTGTTTTTATAATATAGTTTTCTGAATTTGGGGGCCTTGCCCGTAAAGCTTTGTGTTACTATCAGAAAGTTAAACCAAGGTTAGGCTCAACAGGAAACTGCTCATACATTCATGGAACCTATATACTAGAGTTGATGGTGGTAACAGGAGTTGGTTGTTGGGGTACAGATTGTTTTCATGCGTATTGGACATGATACTCACTATATTTTTATTTATCGTATTTACTTGCCAATCACGGATACACTAGGGTACAGACAAGGATGCATGTACTTTTTTGCACCCGTAGCTGGCTGTGTTGGCAAGCAACACTCCAGCAAAAAAAGATATAATAAATATAGCCACGTTTATGTTGCTATCAGCCTATCACTAGTGTTTATTCCACTTCTAGGACTTCCGAGTAAGAAGAAGAGAACCCAGTTACTAATTCAGGATCATGCTGGATTAGCCTGAAATAGTTACACTTATTGCTAGAGACAGAAAAAAGTAGACACACTGTGTATGAGAATATGCTTAGCTATAATGTGTTTTTAGATAGAACAGTGTATCCTCCTCCTACTTTATATTCCCCCTCTTTTTCACGGTCATTTTGCACATCAGTCTTTTTTCCTCTCAGTGCTCTCACCACCAAGAAGCTTAACTTGTTGACTCTCCATCTAAAAACTTTGGGAGAAAAAACTTCCCAACTTTACAACGAACTAGAACTATCCGACTTTACGTCAAATTGGTAGTTGCATGTTTGTTCGATTTCCCATTTCACAAGTTACTTTGATTTAGTTAGGAAGTGCCCTATGAAGAATGGGTAAAAATGGTGAGCTGTTTTTACCCCTATTTGTTTTCACAGAGCAATTTCCTTTTCTACATATTCTTCTAACCATTAACCCCACTATCTCAATCCCACAAATATCTCAGTTGTTGAGACTAAGTTGGATGACTTGGTCAAATATGAATTGAGTCAAGTTAACATAACCCACTTGACCAAATTAACTAAGTGATATGCCTCCCACTATTTGCGAGATCATATGTTTTTCTTACTCCCACTATTCGTAAGATCATATGTTTTTCTTACTCCCACTATCCGTGAGTAGTAATTCTTATTTCATTATTCATAAAATTTTACTTGGACTTATTTATTCCTAAGTCTCTTCAAACTTGCATGTTTAATAAAGGATTCCGCTAGTATTTCTTTTGTCAAAGGATCAACAAATCATATATGTAATAGGGATGTAAATCACTGTTACTTCTCCCTTTTCTATAATTTCTTCAATATAGTGATACTAGATCTCAATGTGTTTTCCTTTAGAGCCATTCATGTCACTATTGATCAAACTAATTGCTGCTTGATTATCACAATAAATATTAATAGGTTCTTCTAACAATTGAGATATAAATCAATCAAAATCGTCTTATCTAGACAGCATGTGTAGTTGCTATATTTTAAGTTAATATTCAGCTTCTTGTGTATCTAGCAACACATCCTTTTTTCTTGCTACTCTAAGAAACAACTCCTTCTCCAAAGATGAATAAGTGTCCTGAAGTGAACTTTTCATTATCTTTATCACCTACAAAATCACCATCGGAGTAACCGAAGAGATCAAGTGAATTGGCTTGATAAACCAATTTGTGAGTCAATGTACCTCTGATATACTTCATAATCCTTTTGACAGCTTCCTAATATGCTGGTCTCGGGTTACTTTGATATCGACTAACTAAACTTATAGCATAAGCTAAATTAGGTCTGGTGCATAATATTGTATATATCAAACATCCAACTGCCTAAGCATAATGAACATCTAATGGCTTTTGCCCCTCTCCAGGGCTTTGTTGTATACACAATCTTTTTCCCATGACCAACAGATTGAATTCTCCATTCTAAACATTTTAAGAACTGATTATAAATATTTTTCTTGGTTTAAACTTAACATTCTAGACTTTCAATCTTGAATTATTTGAATTCCAATAATATATGATGCACCTCTCATGTTTTTTATCTCAAACTTTTCGTTGAGATCTACCATGATTTTATTCAACATTTCCATATCATTTTCGGCGAGTAATATATCATTCACACATAAAGATAATATAGTAAATTTGCTCCAACTTTTCAAGACATATACACAATTATCTAATTTATTTGAATAAAATCGAGTTTGGTGACTGCATCATGAAATTTGAGATACCACTGTCTAGACAACTGTTTTAAACCGTATAGAGATTTTATTAATTTAAAAACTTTATGTTCATGTCCTTTCACCTGAAAACTTTTAGGTGCTGCATATCCTACAACTCTCCATTGAGAAATGCTGCTTGAATATCCATTAGGAATAACTCCAAATTAAGATATGCAATGATAGCTAAAATTATTCTGATGGATGCAAATTTAGCTACATGAGAATATGTCTCTTAAAAGTCTATTCCTGCATTCTAGTTATAACCCTTGGCAACTAACCGTACTTTGAATTGATCAATAGATCTATCAATATGGTATTTTTTTAAGCACTCATTTGCATTCTATGCCTTTTCTATTTTCTGGCAGATCACATAACTCCTAGACCTTATTCTTTTTTATAGAATCAAGTTCTTCTCTCATGGCTTCTAACCATAAAGCTGATTCATGCGATTTCATAACATCGTAGAAGATTAAGGGATCTTGTTCTTCTATATTTGTATCTACCGAGAAACAAGATGACTGACATGAATACAAATAGTAATCATCCATCCATGAAGGTTATGTTCTCAGCCTTCTAGTGCCTATAATCGGTAGGTGAGTTACATCCATTTTCATAGATATTTTATTGTTTTTAAGGTTAGGTTCATTCACAATATCTGGATTATTAGTGGAATAACACTGTAATAATCAGCATCTGTTACAGCTTGAGGTTATGTTTCCTCTTGAACTTATTCATCTTTTTATAGATTCTCTAGAAATGTGGCATCTATGCTTTCAATGACTCATTTTTCTTTATTATAAAACTTATAACATTTTGAATTTTCTGAATACCCTCTGAATCTACACTTTACTGTTTTAAAGTCTACATTACCTCCAAGTTGGTATGGAACAAGAACAAGGGCTATAGATCCCCACTTCTTGAGATGACTCAGATTAGGTTTCCTTCACTCCCTAATTCATAAGGTATAGATACAACTGACTTGGTAGGAATTCTATTCAAAATATAGTTTGTAATTAATAATGTTTCTTCCCAAAATTTTTTAGAGAGACCCAAATGAGTCAACATGCATCTAACTACACTCAACAATATTCTATTCCTTCTTTCAGCAACACCATTCTATTATGGTATATACGACATTGTTATATACCTTTTAATTTTATGTTGAATACAATAACTCTTAAATTCTTTAGAGTTATATTCCCTACCTCTATCAGTTCTCAAAATTTTGATTTTCATTCCAAGTTAGTTTTCAACTTCTGTTTTAAATCTCGTAAAGCATGAAGACTTCTAATTTTCTAGAGATAAGATAGATATGTGCAAACTTAAAATAGTCATCTATAAAAATAATAAAATATTATTTATTATTATGAGTTTTAACACTTAGTGGACCCCAAATACCCGAGTGTATCAATCCTAAAAGTTTATTGACTCTTTGTCCGTCAATAAAAGGCTCATTGGTCATTTTACCAGTTAAATAATATTCACATGATGATAATTGAACATTAGATATATAGGTAGTGAGTTCATTATTTCTTTTATTTTTAAAACACTAGCATGTTCTAGTCTAGAATGCTACCATTCAGACTCAGAAATATAATAGGATAAGTAGTTTAAATCGAAAATTTTATTATGAGAATTATTATAAACTATTGAAAGAATGCATAATTCATGCTCAGGTACTTATTTTGTCATAGTATATACTTTATTATTTTTGCGTATAGAAGCCCTATTATTGTAGAACCTAACTTCCATCCCTTTCTCCATCAAGGTACGAATAGAGATCAGATTGTGCTAAATTCCTGGAATATAGAACACATCTTTGGGGATAAGAACACTATCCTTGAGGTCCAATCTGTATGACCTAATACCTTCTACATCAAGATAGGTGTTGTTTCCCATATAAGTTCTCCATTTTCCTTTCTTTAGATTGGTAAACTCTATGGCTCCATTCTTGTCCTTTGCGATATGTGTTGTCACACTAAAGTCGATCCACCAACCGTTGATATTCATCGTTGCAAAGTTGCATTCTGTCACACCGATGAATTATCTTTTTCTAGTACCCATGTGTTCTAGATACTTATAGCCTCCTTCATTCTCCTGCTTTACACCTTGTTGGCAAGTAGACCTGAAATACATGAACTTCCAATAATTGTAGCAGGCTCCATGAGATACTTTCTTTCTCTTGAAGTGCTGCGATTTTGGTCCTTAAGATTGTGGTTTGCTAGGACTAAGGTTTTTATAGCTTTTAGCATTATGCCTCTGGAGAACTGCTGCACTATGTTTCGTTATGGTTTTTCCTACTGGCTATTAAGTCATGTTTAGTCGCTAGGTATATTGAAAGATCAGTGACATATTTAATGATAGTGTTCATTCTTAATGTAGTGACAACCACATCAAGGGAAGGGGGGAGACTATTTAATATAGTTACCACTTGCATTTGTTTGTTGGGAAAATTGAAAGAAGAAAAAAAATAAAAAATTAAATTTGTATTATTCTCTCTAATAGACTTAGAAAAAGAATTAATTTCAATTCTCTCAATGTAATCTCTCTCTAACAGACTTAGAAAAAAGAAAT